TTTCTTTGGAATAACAAAGACAGGAATATTCCAAGGGGTAACAGTTTTCTCAGTGTCCTAGCTGGAATTGTTCTTCAACTGATTTTGTAGCTGGATGAGCTTCTGCCTATTAAAGGGCCACTAATCTACCCAAACAGCCTCCTGAGCTTTGCACTGCAAAGGCAGAGCTGTTTTAGAGGGAGAAGTATCAATAGCCCTCACTTAAAAAAACCTGTTGATATCCAATACCACGTCTGTCATTCTTGGGTGTAATCCTCACAGGCTCTTTGATTCCCTGTAAATTCTTTCCTAATCCTGTATCCTTTTGATATTCCATGTTAATCATCATTTGTCTAATTTTAGGATTTGAATCTATTTGCTTAATTTCAGAATGGGAATTTGTTTGTTTAAAGTTACAGTCAGAATCATTAGTCAATACTAATTTCCACTTTTGTAACAAATCTCTTCCCCACAAACTGACTGGAATAGGTGCCACATATGATGAAAAGAAGCCCTTTTGCTTGTCTGGCCCCTCATAATGCAGTACCTGCTGAGGGGCTCCAGTCCTGCTAAAGAGGTGGGGCCTTCTGTGTTGGCCACGTGGTGGGCCATTGTTCTAATGCAAGTACAGACACATCTGCACCAGTGTCTATTAGACCTTCAAAGCATTTTCCATTGATCTTTATAAAACACACAGGCCTGTTTTTAGTCACTTCCAGTGTAAAATAACTTTCCCTTTTTGTAGTCTTGCTCTTAGGGTCTTGTTCCCTCATGAACTGTCTGTATTTAACAAAGGAAGGCTTACCTATAGGTCACAAAATCAATTGTGCCACAATTTCTCCCTTTTCAAAAACCCAGACATCCATCACACGTGCAAAAACTTGTATTTCATCTTGACAGTCACCATCAGTCACATTAGGTACAATAATTATTTCTTTTAAATTTAGTTCAGCCTTTGCCAATTCAAGACCTCAGGTGGTGGACCCTAAACTTGTGTGGGAATTGGGGTCGGTTTTTCACCCCCAATAAGAGTGACTCTGCCAGCTGCAGGAAGATCTAATCCTGTACTTCGTATTGTTCCCCTGGTGAGGGAATTTGTATCCCTCCAGGGAACCACTTTTGAGGCTGTTGTTGAATCTGCTGGTGTATTTGCACTGGGTAAGACTGACTGATATTCTGACTCACAAGTTACATTTCTTCTATTGTTTGGCTGGCCTGAGGGAAAACCCTTGTCTCCTTTTACTGGCAAAGGTGTACCATCCTTATGCATCTTAAAGTGGCAGTATTTGACACAGTGTCTCCTGTTTGGCATTTTGGAAAGAGTCCAGGAGCAGGACCCAAACCCTCCAAGCCAGAGGCATTGTTCCCTTGACCTGCTGCAGTCACAGCAACTGTCCCATTAGATCCAGCAAGAACTCTATAATTTTTCTAATATGTCCCATTTTTCCACAGTTAAAACATTTTAGATTACCCCCTCCTATATTAATAAAACCAGCCATAACCTGAACTATCATGGTTGTTTGATTATTGATAATACTTTGTTTTAAGATTTTTTTAGCATCTAGATTTCAAAAAGCAAATGAGAAACAATCTCCTCATTACAAACATTCTGCTGAGTTCCAACTGGGAAGCAAGCGGGGGTGCCAATGATTTCTCCTTTTGTGGCTACTTGTTCCTTTAAAATCTGTAAGTTTCTAGATAGAGCCATATGGGATGTTCTTTTTCGATGTTCTTTTGAAAGACCCCTGCTCCTGCCTAAGTTTCTCTGCTGGGAGCTCTTTTTTTTCCTCTGCGTCTGAGCTTACCAGCTGTTAGCTCTGCAATGGACTTAACACCGAACAAATTAGGTTCCAAACTGACAATGTCTCAGGGGAAATGATTTTTCCTGTACTGTGTGTCCTTTTAAGATTTTTTCCAACTCTTTCCCAATCATCAATATCTACAGTGCCTGTCCAAGGAAACCATGAATTATATTTGGTTACTTTTGTAA